CAATGCAATTCAAAGCAGTCAATGATCATCACTGGCTGGAGGGGAGAAAAATCTCCATGACACCAGTAATAAGTATAAATATTTGATTGTGACAGTGATCCCCAGTGTTAAGACATGTTGCATTGCCTCTCTCCCCTGCCCAATGTTAAGACATTATTTGATATAACTTTCTGGTTTCTAATAGCACTGGGATGCAGATTTGTTTTTGTTCTGACAGTGATTTACAGTAGTTTGATTAAACATCTGTAGCTCAACCAAATGGAAATAGAGAGCGGCTATTTATTGTTTGATTTTGCCAAGATCAGCAGATTCTTTCTAAAGGATAACATCTAACATCTGCAGTATTTTAATTCTGTGTAAACCAATGCAAGCGTGTCTGTTACAATCTGCTGAAGGAATTATCATGCAACAGTCTTATATTCTCCTGCTTGAGTTGTACAGTTTTCCATATTTTATTTAAGTCTATGTTTGAGGATCAACAAAGTTCTGAATCCTGTTAAACTTTTGATTTCACCCGTGAATAAATAATAAAAATGGTGTTCCCTGTCTAAATTCTCATTTCCAAATTCAGATTAAAAATTCACTATAACAAAGGTTCGTAATGCTGTATATTTCACGCTTACAATCTCGCTTAGTGAAAGTAGTTGGGTCACCTTATCTATGAAGATTAGAAATAACTATTGAACACATATGCCCAGTTGTGCTTTACAATTCCAAATGATTATCTCCAGGGTTTCTGTATTACCTTTTCTGTTGTGAGCTGCGATTTGCAAGCTAGCTGTGTGAACCCGTACTCTAATTCACAACAGTGGGACGAGTAGTTTGTGTGTGTGAAAGGTGTAATTGAGGTCCTTGTGTTTTCTCAGTTGAAGTCATTGTTGCTGGGGCTTTAGTGATACAATGAGACATCAGTTTTGATATCAGGGTCTATTTTGCAGGTTGTGGCAACCAGATGTAAGCACATGTGTACATAGCGAATTCAGCTGCCTTTACTTACATAACTAACAAATTAAAGCATTGCAGATGGTTCTGGAAAGGATTAGTTGTTGTTTATACAATTAAAACAAATACTTTAATCTGTAATCACAGAGCAATAAAGGTGGACATCTACATTTGACAAATCAGCCAGGGCTCTCTCTACCCAGAGCCTTGTAATGAATATGTGACAATTTTAGTACCTGTTGAATCATACCTACCTACCCCATTTGAAAGAAAGAGCTCAAATGGGAGAAAATTAAAGAAGGCAAATTAACAAAAAAATGTTTCAGACTTGACACTGCTGGCCAGTGTGCCAGAGAGCACATCACTAATTTCAAGGTATTTGGAGAATGGATTTCCCATAATTTAACATGGTTGTTTCACATCAGTCGAGCATGTAAGAAAGCTAAGTACATCATTAGGCATTAATAGAAAGAAAGGTATAACAGCTTATTTAAAGATACTTCTTTAAACCTGGTCCCCTATCGGCTAGAATAGATTTTACTTTGACAAAGTGTACAACACAACGAAGAGATAATCAATTCCTAAGGTTGTTTGTCTGCTGAGTCATCTTTCAAAATTGGCACAAAGCATTCCCAAGTGTCTATCTTATCTGTAAGTGCTTTGGATTGGTAGGAGTTTCATAAGAACAAGTCAATTTATACAGTGTTGGAAGAAAAAGTCCACTCTGTTTCAGGCATACAAAACAATCTCTGGGTTGCCGGTAGTTTTTAATTTCCTGTTGCTAAAAATTATGTGCATTGTTTAAACTGTGTGATTTCCTAAACATCCTCATGGCTATTCAGATAAATCCAAAGTGAATTGCGCAGAGGTGATCCACCCCAAATGTCCCATCAAGTATTTTTCTTTTTTCTTCATACATTTACTAAGGATGATTCTATTAAATTACAGTAATTGTACAATAATCTTTGTTGTGGGAACCACAGAAGGAAATCTCATTGGAACTACATGAGTTTGCCTCTGACTGCTGGAACATTGGTTCATATCGTACTTACAGTTCCATGGTTAACAATCTCACCTGTTTCTCTAGGTGGAGACAAGCTAAGCTATTTTGCATAGGAAAATTAGGAGGAAAAATATCAGAGAAGCCATAACTCATGTCTCTCCGAGCAATATTAATACATGAGAATCAGCAGACTTATGATCTACCTCCGCGCTTGTCTTCTCCAAGGAAATGTGCATGGTGTTCGAACACGAAAAATGGATAGATAATAAAATAAAACACAAACAATTAAACAAGATGAAATAATCATTTTCATGTAATCATCTTTGTGACCTTTATTAGACCCATGTAAAATGCATTTCCATGCTTACTGACATCTACATTTTGATATTTATTAGATGTATTCGTAATGGCCAATTGGTTCTTGTGAAACATACCCTTTCATGTTTTGCTTAGTTTGTGCTATGCCATCATCCAAGGTGAGTTGAACTGCACTAAAGGTGGATCAACATTTATGTGTGTTTATGCTATTCACTAGAAGCAGAACTTTGCTTAAGGTTTGGTAAACACATTAACAAAAAGGTAGTGGTACTATTAGAATGTTAAGCATGAGATGTTATGAGATGATATGAACCATTAAATATCAACAACTACTCAAAGGCTTAGTAACGATGGCATTTTGTAAAAAGATAATCACAATTGGATGAACACATTCACTAAACATTCTCAAAAGAGTCTTTCAGCCACTAAATCAATGGCTCTGTGAAAAAGAGAATTGGGTTAAAATAGGAAATTTTGTAGCATCTGCAGAACAACTTGGGTTGCCATGGTGCAATCTCTTTCTGCACAATAAGCAAGATTCAGGAATTAGCTTTATCAAGTCTGATGTACTAAATAGAGCAGTTCTAATTTAGGAATAAGTGTAGGAAAAAATGAAAAGGTACAAGTGTTACTTACCTTCATATTACAAGCTCATGTTTGTGTGGTTGTGATTATTACGTAAAGAACATATATTTGAATATGTTTTCGCAGCAGATTTGGAACACATTTTTAATGCATGTGTTATGATTTCCAAAAATGGCAAGAAGCATTAAAAAAAATAACTGCAATAAAAAAATGGTTTCAATAGAGACTCAATTATTCTTACATCAGTTTAAGAACCAGTCCCAACGTGAAATATCTTGTATACAAGGGTGCATATAAGATTCTATGCACATTTCATCTCAACAGTTGTCATTTCTTCTCATCTTTTGACAATACCAAATTCAAATAAAAATAAAGCATATAATGAAACATTTGTAGAGATATTGATGTTGAATACTGCACTCCCCAAAAATTTCTTTAAAACATTGGAATAAAACAGTTACTAATTTATAAAAATTGAAGAGTTGTAATGTTTGCAATTAGTTTTAGTCATTTTTTCTCAATTTTCTAAAATATCATAATAATTTTTTTTAAATGATGGAATTGCAATACAGTACCTGCTGTATAATGATTATGAAATAGTGCAGATTAATTTTTAATTAAAGGTCAGAAAGCAGGAACGATTAATGCCTCACCATCAACTAAACGCTTTAGACTTGTTCTTCCTCTATATACCAGTCTGTAGATATTTTCTTCCCATTTCCTGCTGCCTCACTAAACCACGAGGGAATCTCCTTCATGTATTTCATACATATCTTCATAAATTCAAAAACTCAATACAAAATATAGACCAGGAGCAGGTAAAATAACATTATGATTCTAAAATGTTTGGTAATACTAGTCTATTTCTTGTGGGAATCAAGTCTAAAAATCACACAATTAGTTTGAATTCTTTCAAGCGTTTTAGTTCTTCATTTCCTTTACCAAAAGTGTGATGACCTAGATTAAGTAAGAAACTGGACTAAAGGTGGTGCCATGCATGCTCATTAAAGGTTTGTTTTAGCAGCTACGAGCAGATCCATTTTCTGCCTGTGTCCGATCCATAAAGATTAGAAATTCATTATGACAAATCACTTTTGGGGGTTTATCCTTGTGTAGTTAAGGTGAATGTAGCCAACTGTTTTTTTAAATGTTGTACCATTTATTTCTCTTGGGGGAATTCTGAAACATATTTTCTTTTGGATCGGCTTTTCTTTTGAATACGAAAAATAACTCAAAAAAACTCAATAATTAAAGGCAAACAGTAATCTTGAAGCATCAAATCTATAATTGTACTCAATAAAAATAAAGATGGATGTAACAAACACATCATCAAATAGACGTTTTAGATTATGTTTTCTTTCCTTTGATTTGTTTGCCCGTACGATTAAAAACCCATCAAAACTATAGCTACAATTAACTTGCCATATTTCAAAGTAATAAAGAATTACACGATTAAAACTGGCAAACCGTAAACTCATAATTACCACTTGAACAATGTGCCTGTTCCATTCGGATACAAATGTATATTTTATAGTTGTTTTCTTTCGTACGAGCAAATAAACCAGTATTAAAATATTATTTATTAATTAAGTATTCACTTTAGTTTTCTATTGTGAATTCACTTTAGTTTTCTTTACTTTTCCTACTCTATATATACTGTTGCATGCAAGCGTAAAGCATGACATCTAAATGACTTTCACACGCTTATTAACTCAAGTTCATCCGTCTCCCATTGCATCCACTACATTGTAGTTGGCAGATAATCATTCCTGTTCACGCACATAAGAGTGGTAGTAAAAGAACTGCAATGGTTAGGAGCCAATGGAGCTTCCTAGAATCCATCTTGCATTGCGTGTTGCCCAAAAGTGTATTACTTCAACTGTACTGCCAAGCATATATAGGTTCCATTTGAAAGGCTAAATGGCACAAAGCCAGTTTGTGATATTATCTGTGTACAAGAGAAACACATTCAACAAATTGAAAAGCCTACTGGAAAATGTCAGGATAGATTTTTCATATTCTGTTTGCACCATTGCCTTCCAACTACTGTAAAACATTTTTTAGGTACAAGAGGCCAAAAAGTTGCCAACAGCTTAAAATAATCGCACAGTACTCTATTTATGACACAGTTTGATAAAGAATTCTTAACAAGTTTGGTCAATAATTCCCATTTATTTTATGAGAAGATTAAATTCATCATCAGCCAGGTGTTGTAAATCTTAACGGCACTGCAATATATGTGTAATCCTATCAAGAATGATTTAAGAAAACAATACGTCACATATTTTATTTTAAAGTAGTCTATTAAAACTCATCTTTGCAGAATACCCACCCTACTAGCTTTCGATATCATCCAGTTTCTTCTTTAAAGCTTCTTAACCTGTGCCCATTCACAACCCTGAACCTGAAAGCCCTTACTCTGCTTGTGTATCTGAAGATATTGCCTGGATACACGCTCTCTGTTTCGCTATATACCTGTAAGGAAACAATTGAGATACAGGGCAGATCCTTCATACCCAGTCATTTGGGTCCAGAGGAACAAAACATATTGCCGACTTCAGGGTCATCAGGTCACCATTGACATTACTTCCTGTCTATCTCTGCCCATTTTGTATAAAAAAGCACTGATAACATCGTGGCATCATTGATGTTTCCTGTGCAGAAAACATGTGCCTGCCTAGCACATAGAAAGGTCACATTTCTTAGCATAGGGAGCCAGCGAGTCAGCACAGGAGGTTGATAATCCTATGGAACAGTGGACCCATTTGTAATCAAATCTGCGCTCAACTAGAGCATGGTCTAAGCCGGCTCCCCCATATCCAGTTACAAGGATGAAAAGCTCCAATTTATCCAGTCATTCACACGTCGTCCATCTCCTAAATGTTGGGGATTAGCTCCATTGCTTGGCCTGGGCAGCTCTTTATGTTGCAATGACCAGATTTGTGCCTTCTACTCCACACATAGCCCAACTAGAGAACTGTACAGTATGAGCTATTTTGTATTCTGAACAATGAAAACACAATTTGAAAGATGTTATGGTTTGATTTTCAAATAACAAAGTGATCCAGTCGTCAAAATGTTGTGTTACAATAATTTTGACAGCAGCACACCTTGTTTCAGATTTTGAAGGAAAAGGTATTTCCATTTATCCCAGTTAAATCTTTTGAACTGAAGGTAACTAGGAGACAAAGCAAGTCTAATTAACAACACATTCAGACAATGAAACTTGTATTTTTATCAGTAGTGGATTTCGAACAATCTAATCTCGCTCATTACATGAATACAGAAAAATTGCTAAAAATTATATTTTATAAATGACAATGCCACTATAAAGGAACAGGAGTTAGTTGGCATATGTTACCCATTTTTTGATCCTATTAAATAAAACTAGAAACAAGACATTTAGCAAAATATGACCAGTACTTTACAGTCAATAGGCTTCAAAATCTAAAAGTTCTCATTAGGAATGAATTCATTTGCAGAATTATACCAAGCAAATGGTAATAAATGTTGACACCATAAAACAAGTTTTAAAATTTTCAGCTTCATATATACAAACTTCTATACATAACGATTACACCCTTATGGACAAAGCAGTAAGCTGTTTCTTTTTTCCAACAATGTCTACTACTTTACCCGTCTTGCTCAAAACTAAGCAAAGCTTCAGACCAAGAATTAACTAACTGCAGAATCAAGAGAAGTAAAACACTCATGCGGTTTGAATCCAGAAATCATTACGCTAGTCTAAATCAGGTGGTGCAAGTTTTCAATCCATTAAGAGAACATTCTCAGTCCTTTGAAAGGTTCAATGAATAGGTTTTGGGCGTTATCTACACCCACATTATTTGTGGTAGTGAAAAATTATGACTCAGCAGCAGAATTTATTTGTTGGCTAAAATGCACTTTCCATCTCCTTATTGTGGTAAATGGAACCACTGCGATACAAATTTTGACTGGTGCAGGTTCAAATGAGGTAAATAATGTTCGAATGTCTTTTGAATTTGTAAAGAGAAAATAAAAGGGGACCAAGGGGATATGTTTTTTTGGTCTTTTTTGAAAAAGAATTGCATATGTTGGAAGTGGTACTGAATACAATATCAACTTATCACTGTACAATCCCAGAATCTATTGATGTTTGTTTCCGAGCTGCCTTTGGAGGAGGTGGAGGAGGAGTCTTGCTGGGCAATGGTGGAGGGAGCTGTTGAAAAAAAAGCAATCATAATCAGTTCTTCAATTTCTCCTTTGCCTGTAGTATTGCCAGCAAGCAGTGACCTTGGCTCAAATCTAACCTTGAGTGCTAAATGAGGTTCTTCACATTCAATACCATCACATTATAACAATGATGTGACTAAACTAAGATAGCAAAGCACTATCGATTCTTGACAATCTTTTCTCTAAATTATCAAAGCCTCTCATTTTCCCATTACTTATATCAAACAGAAACACAATGCATTTGTTCCACCAAATAGTCAATTTTATTGACTGAATGTTTGGCCAAGATATTGGAAAAGTGATGCACTATTTGTAAGCAATACTATTTATTGCTTGTGTTAGTGATTGAAAAATGGCTTGAACATTAAGTGGCTAAACAGTGCTTAAGATTGGTTTGGGGAAACGTATTTATTGCAGTCTGCCCGCAGTTTATTCAGCAAATGAAACCAGCGTTATGACATTCCAATTAATACAGTAAAGCAGGTAATTTAAAATTGATTGCTGCAGAGAACACAGAAAAAGAAGAATTGGGAGACATCAGAACACAGATACACTTTGCGCTTGTGAAGGAAGGAAAGATGAGGCTCACTGCAAAGTGCTCTACGTTTAACAACAACTTGCATGCAAATAGCGCCAGGTAACGTCCCAGAGCGCTTGACAGTGATGGAGCATGACGCCGAGCCAGGGTGATGACCGTAGGTGCGGTCGAATAGGAAGGTCTTCAGGTGCGACCTGAAGATAGGGAGGGAAGGTGGAGGGATAGAGGAAGAGTGTTCCAGAGTTTAAAGGTATAGTTACCCTGGATTGATGTGGTGGTGGAGGTGGTGGAGTGCTAGGAATGGTGAGTTCCTGACTATCAGTCAGCGTTCCATAATCCCCACTATTGCCTTTGACAGGAAGAGGAGGTGGGACTCCAGTCTGCTCAGGATTGGCCGTGCCATTTAACTCCATGTCTATAAGTAGAAACACATCAAATTATATTTTAAATAATTATTTTGGAACAAGAGATGTTCAGTTTAGACCTTTTTCTCCACACAAAATATTGATTGTAAAATACAATTTATTTGTCATTCAAGTCCTGCGCTTTTAGTTCTAAAATATCCTGAAAAGTCTCCCATCGTAAACATAAAACAAACGCCCGCAGATCATGTCATAATGGAGTCATTCTGTACTTTGCTCCATAGTTATACAATACCGAACTTATATGCTGCCTAATTCTTACAATTGGAAACATTTGTTAGTTTGTGTAACTTTTTTTTAACACAATCTGCACACATTATTAGATTAATCTGGCACTATTATAATATTTTACCCAGTGGATATGCAAACTACCCTTTAGGGAGTGGTATAATTCGCAGACAACTTGCATTTTCACTGTATACAATACAAAATTACATTTCTATAGCGCCTTTCATGTCGGGATGATGTCCCAAGGCCCTGACAATTAGGGATATATAGCAACCTTCGGATAAAAGAACATCATGGGCAATCCAAAGAATTTTTTGAGGGACCATTTTCTTATGAGAACCCAAATCAATTTGCACATGATCTATTTATAATACAGTGAATTTCAGTGTGCTGGAAGTTACCCCTATGGAGACATGCTGCTTAACCCCAATTACTGCAACATTTCTTGTCCCATTTTCTGGGCTTCCAGCTTGCACATGTACCCAACATCTGTCAGAACACAATACACATAACAGCAATTTAGTACATAGCTTGTAGACTATAAAACTGTTGTTTTGCCAGCTGCAGAAGGTTCTATAACTTATTTTTGAAACATTCAAACACGTTGAAAATACTGAAATGAGTCTGAACTGACACATACCTAAATGCAGTAAGACAATAGCTAAGTAATTCTAATGTCATACTATAGGATAATAATACAAATCATTTAAGAGACCACATCTCTACAGGGTGCAGGAAGCAAAACGTTACTCACAACCGGCTTCTAAAATGGGTTCGATAATATAAAACTGACAATAGAAGTTGAAACTATTATTTTACTCCAGTAAAGTGAACATAAATCCACTCCATTAAAAAAGGTACCAAATACCCAATGTTCAAGGTAAAACATTGTTTTAGATTTAGAACCCCAAGCACAGAAAGTAGATTAAAGCCTTAATATGAATATGAATACTTGTGAGTGATATCATTATGACATAGATAATCTTGGCATTTGATTATAGTGCCTTGCCAAGTTAATGAAATGTCTCAAGGCACAAAACAGAAACACTGTTAAGTCTAATGTCTGTGTATATGTAGGCATTTGAAGAAGCCAATTTGCACACAGCAATGCCACATAAATAGCCATGAAGTGAATGATCAATTTTACCTGGAGGATCCAAAGACACCGAGAGAAATTCCCTTCTCTTTTCTAGTAGTTCCTTGGGATTTTAACATCTACCTGAACAAGCAGACGGGACTTCGGTCTGACAATTCCAACAATGCAGCACTCCCTCAGCACTGTGTTGAAATGTCAACCTAGACTGCGAGTTTAAAGTTCTGCAATGGGACAATGGAACTTGAATCCACAACCTCTTAACTTATAGGCGATACTGCGGCCAACTTAGCAAAGCTGACATAGTAAATGCACTTTTTCTGAACGATAAAGGCAGCACACCTCTACAAACGCACTCAAACAGGTCATTAATTTCTGAGCTTTTAATTATTTTTTAAAGAATGCTTGATTAAACAATTTAATAGAAATAAACATTTAAACTTGTGTTTTTACATTCACTTATTTTGATAATACTATTGCAGTTTGTCTTGCATGACTAAATCTACCATGAAAAGTGCTAATTAAGAAATAGCAAAACAATGTAGAAGTTTAGATATGGTAAAATTAATGCTTCTGTGTTTTAAGTGAAATCCCCAGGGCATGCATGGATACACTGCTTATTGTTGAACCAAAAGGGAATATAATTACTGACATAGTGTTGGCTGCTTGCCACAACTCAACATTGTTTCCTGTGAAACGTAATACGCTTAGCCTTGACTTTCATTGTACTACGTGTCCATACTATTCATACACAATCCTGTTTCTATGAAAACATTTAAAAATTCAGCCCATATGAAATGAATTATTTTAAAGATTTTAGATTTCATGCTATTCCTACTTAGTCCAATACAGCAATGCAAACTTTCTGCAAGATGGTTGACATCAGTTTGTATACCATTGTTTAGTTTCATGGCTATTTATTGACCGGCATGATACTGACTGTTTTTAGCAGCAATGCATGGAGCCACTGTGGTTTTATTGTGTTCTTGCACCATTGTAAAGAGAAGAAAGCAAAGCTCTGTCCATACTGAAAATCAACAGGACTGATTATAAGCCTTCAACTTCTGGTAAATTCTCCAAGTGACTGAAAACAGCCAATGCAATAATCACTTACTAGAAATTAAATGGCAGCATAATAAATTTCAGATTTTTTTCCAAAACATAATTAAGTGACAGTACAACTATAAAATACAAAATATTGCAGATGCTGAAAATCTGAAACAAAAACAGAACTGGGGGATTGCAACAAAACAGGGGAAAAGATTGTTTTGTTGCAATCCTCCCCTTTATTTTGCATCATTAACACCTCTTTAACCCAACATCCCCCTGTCCTCGATCCCATTTTCTCCTTGGTCTTCCTTGCCCTGCCTCCCACCTCTCTTTTAGTCCTTAAAAGCCTCTCCTTCCCAACATGCCCCAGTTCTGACGAAGGGTTGTGGACCTGAAAAGTTGGCTCACTTTCCTTTCTCCATAGATGCTGTCTGACCTGCTAAGTGTTCCCAGCGACTTCTGTTTTTGTTTCAAATTCTCCCACACGTTGTGGTAAACAGAACATGCAGAACTGGCTGGCATATTTATCTAATAAATACATTTATCTGATTTGGCCTTCTTGTTTGTCTAAGATAAACTGAGTTTTGGCTTCCAATGATTTGAATCAATTTTATTGGGCCCACTTGCTAAAACAATGAAAGGCATTAATAATTTATGTTGCGGATTTCTGTCACTGACTTGAGACACTCAATGTAGATTTTGAAAAGTAAAAGAGAGTAAAATATCTAAGTAGTAAATCAGAAGCCAATGAGCACTGATATATAATTAACTTCTGATGGGAAGTGAATAGAAAAATAGTTTTCTTATTGGATCAGTGTGTGAGGTAACTTACACTGAGGCAAGTGGGCAGTTTGTGTGAGTATGAAATCTGAATGAATCAGCAATAGTTTTTTGAATTCATATTTGAATTACAGTAAAATTGACAACACTACCAAAATACATTTTTATTTGCATTTGATTTTTTAGTGAATTCTATGTAATATCAATTAGTATATTATCAATTTAAATATACGCTTTACAATGTATGACTTTGATATTACTATACGCAGTAATTCATGTAAATCTAACTCAAAATTCAGTATTTTCAGAAATGTTGTGCTTTCTCTTATGAACCATCCACCACTGATTTCCCCCGACGATCACCAAAGCAAGAAAACTTGTATGAATGCAATTTCTTCCAACATGCGTCACAGTACTTACTTTGGCCAATCTGTAATGAAATAGATAATTTGGCTCTGGGAGTTACTGGAGGTGGCACTGCTGCAATAGACTGTGGTGAAGGTGATGCAGAAAAACGTCGATCACCTCCCATGATAGTAATCACCTGACTCTTTGGTCTTTGTGGCCTTAATGGACTGATCTGAAATCAGAAGTAAACCATGTTGTCAAGAGGACAGGCACATTTGGAATTGACTTAATTCACGTCAAAATGTTCTCAAAACTCAGTAATGTTCCCAACAATTAATATCACCATTCCTTACACACTCCACACAAAATTGGCTTCTTGCTGTCTCCACACCAACCATTATCTCACATGGGAATTAATATATTGCATAAACAATCTCCAAAGCATGATGAAGGTTGGGAAAACATCTTAAGCCTTATATTGTCAATATTTCTATTGTCAATATTTCTTATGCCACCAGTATATTCATTTAACAAGTTTTCCCTGCATATCTTTCAAGCTTCATGTCTGAGCTACACCATCATAACAAATTTATTCATAATATTAAAAGTACAAGCATAATTATTTATAATCGAATGAGGCACAACCTTGGGACAATCACAGTACAAACAATTAAAGAAAACATTAAATTGAACTGATTAATAGGACAATGAGAAAGACTTGCTTAGGAGGGACAATGCTCATTAGAACTGAACACAATGCTATACAAAAATCAAAATACTGCAGATGCTGGAAATCTGAAATAAAAATAGAAGTCACTGGGAACACTCAGCAGGCCAGACAGCATCTATGGAGAATGGAAAGTGAACCAACATTACAAGATCCACTGATTGACGTACTGATGAACGGTCGTGGACCTGAAACGTTGACTCACTTTCCAGTTTTGATGAAACGTTGGCTCACTTTCCTTTCTCCATAGATGCTGCCCGATCTGTTGAGTGTTCTCAGAGACTTCTGTTTATGTTTCACAATGCTATTCAAGATCTTTGAAGTTTGACTTCAGCAGAAACAAGTAAAGAACCGCCTTCATCACTTCCCGTCACTTTTAGGTTCTTTCAATTTCTGTCAGCGCCTTGGGACATCTTCCCGACGTGAAAGGCGCTATACAAATGTAATCTTGTTGTTGTTGTATAATGGAAATGCTAGCTTTTGCAACACTGATAGATTGCTGGTCGACTGTGAACAAAGACAACCTGGTCACCAAATACACATTCCTGACCTTCAACAGAACATCGCCTAAATTTTCAACAAAAGTGAAGTGACATCAAATGAAAACATTAAAAAGGTGACAATTTACTCTGTGACTCAACACTGATTTCAATACTAATTACTGTTTGCTATTCAATTAAGATGCTCAGTTTCACATGTGACATCAGCACATATTGTACTAACAAAGTACAATGCTAAGATGTTTCAGCAAGTCTTCACCAAGGTTCTCAGAACATGTAATTTAAATACTGTCAGGCTTACTGAGTGTTTAAATGACAGTTACTTTATACAAGCTCCCAGTTCACGAATTATCCTGGAATTACCGTTTCAGAGAGAATCACTGCTTCTGCAGGTTGACTAGGAATCTCAGTGGTCTTAAACTCTTTATCAAATATTTCTTGATGTCTGCTATTCCTCTTTTCCTTTTTCCTGTCTTTCTTTTCTTTCTCCACATCATCCTTATCCAATTTGTCCTGAGATCTTGAGTGCATCTTCTTTGGAAGGAGGGGTTCAAGAATAAACCTTAAAATAAATAAAATAAATAAAAGTTGGTGGCCTGTGCTGTAAATTAGTGTAAAGTTTGTTTAAGAGTCATTAAGAGGAATTGTCACTTGAAACAAACACATATGCACGATTAAATCTGAAAGGACCATTTTTTGGAAACAGAAACATTCTTTTATACAATATATTTCTGAAGGAAATGTGATAAACACCCAAATTCTATATCTTGGCATCCAAAGTATATTTGCCAGTTATACACAATGAAAAATGCTTAAATCTTTATTTTTTTCAAGAAGGTGCAGGAATGCTAATCCGAAGAAGTGGGTACTCAAAAAATCAGCATCTTGCAAGATATTCTGTAACAAGCTTTGCATGCATTTAAAATGTGTGTGAATGTGAATGTAAACAGAGTTTTGCAGCTTTCTCCTGCTCTGTAAAAATATGCACTGTTTTTATCTCAAATTCCCTCTTGTGTATTATATAATGGGATTATGTAAGGACCTGTAGTAAATGCACTCTCAAACAACTCTGACAGGTTATAAATGTTGATGTGGTTGAGGCATTAAGGCATCCTAAATTAGACATAAGAAATAAATTATGTACCAATCTGAACTGTTACCATCAATTATTAATGACTTTCATAGGCAAAAGTAAAAGGCAGTCAAAATCAATTACCATGTGACCAAATAAAAAAAATTTCTAAAGCAAACTGAGCCATTAAGTCTTGAATATATATTTGAAGGCTTATGACACTTTTGAAAATGGACACTTATTTATTTGAAAGCAGATTTTGAAAACCCATTTCATGTTGTTATTAAGTTGCTCTGCTTTACATTAGAAACTTTTCTCTAGACTATAACATAACCAGAACAAAGATTTCCAGAACATCAAATGCTAAAATAGTATTTATCATAAACTCTTTTCAGTGTGGTTTTATCGGGCATGTAGCGAATTTCTCTTAATTTGTAAACAAACAGTACAAGGTTCGATGATCTTGTTGATAATGTGACATTTTCTATCACGATCATCTCAAGGCTCAATCTTACCTACTGCTGCTTCTTCCCAGCATGGAACCTTCGTTTTGGATTATATTGACTATGCTAAGTGAAGACCTAGTTTATAAATGACAACTATATTTTGTACCAGATCATAAGGAAAACGCTGAATAAGGAAACTTCAGTTTGTTTCATTAAGATTGACATACAGTGATTCAAGTACATAATATTGCAATATTGATGAAAGTTGTAGCATAACAGGAAACGATTCTAAAATATTTCACATAAATTATAGAATTAAAGAATAGGATACACAAATCCTTTGTAGTTTAGCAAGTTCTGCTGCCTTCATATTTGCACATAACAACCAAATGGAAACAGCCCAAGCAGATTGAGTAGAAAGCAAGGTTTTCACATACCCATCAGAGCCAGGTCTGGATGGGGTACTGTCGGATGATATAGAAGAGACTGATACAACTGACAGAGGTCTTGGAGTCGATGGCATTGTGAAAGATCTCACCATTGACCTTGGCCGACTTCCTCTGCGGTCATCCAGATTCGAAGGCTGGAAGCAACAGATTGGACGTAGTGATAATAATAATAGAACAGATGAATCTTGCACTCAAGCGTGTGAAGAACAGCTAATGTGGTTAAACAAAGACAAACTGCAATCTAAATAAAGTTGATCTTCGTCTGCATGAGCCACTTCGGTTCAATCCTTTCAAAAGTGACAAACAATGAAACAAACACCCAAAATAAATCACTGGTGTCTAATTCACAAATGTAAGCCGAGTACATAACAGATAATAGTTTATTAAACTATTTCTCCTGCTTTTCCATTTCTCCTGAAATCATCAATGTAATTTTTGTTGTTATTTGTGTCGAAGTCTGGTTTTACAGAGAATGTGTTATCAAGGAACTGGTGGTATAAGAACACAATCTGGCTGAAGGAGAGGGATACTGACAGTACTTTGCTAGCTGTGAAACTTCCCAAGCACAAATGCAGGATTTTTATTCCCTACCAGGAGCAGGGGCCATCATAAATTGCTCATCACACTGGCAGTTATTAGATTCACATTGGATCACGATGATCAGAAATAAATCCACATATGAAATGTACACATAGAATGTGATGAGAATTTGAGAAAGAATTGACCTTCCAAATGACTGCTGCCACCAACTCCTCACATTGCTATCCATCACAATTAGATACATGACTCTTCACAGAAAGCAAGCATTTTGAAGAGATAGATAAGATAACTCAAGGTAGACGTTTGTTAAGTTAGAGACTGCAGCAAGGCAGGAACACATCATGGGATTCACTCATAAAAGTGTGGAAAGTTTATGTGCTTTATTAGTATTTTCCACAAGCCCTGAGTTGTATCACGTCCTTGAAACACATTTCAGCTTGTATTATTCTCTATAATGTATACAGTTGGGAGTTTGAGGGGCTAGTTTTACTTTGCTTTCATCTAAGTTTTCTTTTCACTGTGACTACACCATGGCTGGCATCAGGCTCCTGTAGTCAAGTCATGGTTAAACTGAAATACAATTGTGGCATTGGATTTAAACTGTAGTGACATTGTATACATATTGTTGATCTTGGCGCCTAATCAGCAATTGATTTCACACCACAAGCTCATTCATTAACAGCAGATGAGTTCTGCAAAAAAACAATTACACTCAGTCATGTGCTGAAAAAAAATACACTCCACTTTATGGTATGTGAACTGGTTTGAAAGGCACTATGCCAAATGCAAAGAGTATTATTGTTATAATGCTTGCAACTTTATTGTCTGTATCTCAGGAGCTTGATATGGTTCAAATGCACTCCTGTCACTGGCAACGCAATATTTTTTGTTCTCAATACAAAGTTAAAAGCTGGTCATAAAACCAAGTTTTATATTACAAATCACAATGACAATTTTATGAACCAATACTATGCATAAATGTACCTCTGTGAAATAACTGCACTTATTAATGGAGCAAATGATGGAATAGCTAGGATGAAAAAATAAGCAAAAATAGCTCAAGGGCTCTTTTACATAATATTTTAGTAAAGGAAAGTGGTGTGTTCTTTACAAGAATCTCTTGAAAGAACAGATCTACCATTAACCTTATCTAAGGTACATGATCTATAACAAATGAAAACATATCAAAACAAAAGCTGGAGGGAAAAAAATACGTACAAGGGTTCTGATCCCATACTGCTTCTCCACTTTGTCCTTCAACTGTTTGAAACAAGTTTCCATTCTCTCATGGAATGGCCTCAATGCTTCGGATACCTTCTCACCATGAATTCGGATACCTTCACTCAAGAACGGGATCTGCAAGAAACCAAAAACACAATCCGGTCATCCGCGTATATAACTTTAATAACAATAACAGGTGACTGATATAATCAGCATTTAGAGGATGCATAAGGAGAAGACAAATCCCTGGTGAATTTGGGTTCTAACAAAGGAGCTACACTGCTGACAAAGATTTGATGTACAGTTCCCTGCACTAAAGTGACAAGTCAAATTGAGCTAAATGTGAGAGCTCCACTAAACTAGCAACTAAATGGACAGCTTTTCATATTAATAAAGAGCCAATTGTATTACCAGCTATTTGCTGCCATTAAAAATCTTCAAGGGGATGCACACTGTAAAAACTATTTTCTTTAATTAAAAAAAGGATGAAATACATTTACATCAGACCGTAGAACATTGCAAAAAAACGATTTTTTTTTTAATATAATCGATTCCATCTCTCAAGTCAGCCATCCTTACGTCATCTCTGACTGTGAATGCTCAATCAGTGGTGACATTATGGGTTGTTGTCCGAAATCACATCTACTGGGAACATGGTTAGAATTACATAAAATAATTCCCTCAGAAGCTTTAACAGCCAGAAAAAATGGAAAGACAGTGAAACCGAGTGATACAAACAGAACTTCAAATCTAGCAAGCAAGCAGTCTCGGTTAACACTATTGTTACCTGAAAAATAATTGTTTCCCAAATAAGAAAGCATAATATTGAAAGATAGATGATAATGGATATGAGGAAGTTATTACAAGGACGCCATCAAATCAATCGCATGAATGTACTCCAAACCATGAAACTAAATTACCTTGTTAAACTCCTGCTATTAAGGTGTCTCCGTACATACTTTATGAAACTAGACCGTTTCAATTGTTTGCAGGACTTTTATTCAGTTTTTAAACTTTGTTTTGGTGTCAGTTGCAGCAGCTAGTGTTCATTGTTTCTTTGCTACATACAACATCAATAGCCAAACTATGGCATGTCTCTGTCTACTGCTGTGGGTTTGTCAAAAAATAAGCACTGATATATTATACAGAATACTGTTCATATAGGTTAATAAAAATATTGAAACCATTTTGTATTGATAACGTACACCGGACTGGTTAGTAGTTTTGAATAGCAGACACTTCCTTCATCACATCTCCCTGTTTTTGTGTTTTAACTCTTAACTCATGAGCTTTTCAATAAAGTAAGCTTTGAGGGGATTAGGTCGTGCAACGGTCTAAGCACGGTACTATTTCAACTCTGGAATTTGAGTCTGAATCCATCTTAAAGTCGTTGGATGAAAATCTCTTCTCTACCTGGCTGTAAGGGTCTTAATCTGAAATGAGTTTGGACAGTCGAAGCACTGTTCCTGGTACCACAGCTCAAAACTATCCATAAATTTACACAGATTGTGCCTCTGTGTGTAGAGGACCTAATGTGTCGGAACTGAAAACATTTGTTCTACTCCAGTTAGGATTGTTGTTCTGAGGATGGAGTTAAGGAGCACTGATGGAGCAGACCAGAGGGAGATTAACTGTCCATCGCACAATGGTCATTTCTGATCCTGGGAGAGAGTGAAATTCCACTGTTTGGTAAAGTTATCGACATTCAAGGTACTTGTGATGATACTTCACATGATAAGCCGCATCACCAAAATTGGTGCCTTTAAAAAACAATGTAATTTTATACTTCTGCCTAGCAAAAGTTGAAAGTGTTAAATTCTTTAATCACCAACATTTTCCATCCCAGCTTTATGAATACAACTACATAAAATACCAAAATTATTAATTTAATTATTTGACTTGATGACCGCTGATCTTAGACAGCTGCTAATGTTCAGAAAGTAAGATGTTATGCCATTGTACAAATTGGATAGAGCTGTACCAAATACAGTGTAGGCTTTCAATAAGGGAAATAGTGTAAGGTATCAACAAACCAGATTTCTTAGCACTCAAATAAACACAGCAAATTTCAGACTTAATGAGATGTATCCCACATTTTCACCCATACCACAATCTGAAACAAGAACCTCTTAGTAATTCCGACCAGTTCAAATCATTTATAAAGATTCTGAGGAGGAGTTTCTGACCTTTAAGAGTGTTTAAAAATACATCTGTCTTATCCCTGGAGCTACATAAATCTACACACAGTTTTTTCAACAAACATCTATCTCTCGTCTTATTTATCATCTACCCACGGTCATTCTATGCCCTTTGTCATGCAAGAAAAGGTCACTGGGGCTCAACCTCCCACTCACTTAAATATTTTTTGGTGAATGTCTGAAATATAGATTTCATCAGAGACCTTGATATTGTGGAACTTCTAAATGAGAGTTAATAAAACAACTTAATCTACAAAGGATAAGAAATACACTAGAACAATTTACAACAGATGTCCTACAGTTCTTTTTTCTAAAAAAAATAATGTATCCTGTGCAAACAAAGTCTTTTTACATTCAACCCATCAAGACCAGATGTGGAGCATTTCAAAAGAAGATAAAAGAGAGCTCATTAAAGTATTAATTGCTTCTGTAATTTAATTGTTGTATCAAGTCCTGCAAAGATATATACACAAACATACACACATCACTCCCGCCCCAAACCTCACATAATATATTTTAGTTGAATTTATTTCTTAAAATAGGCTAGAACAATTATTACCTGAACTTTGCTTCATTGATTACTGGGAAACAGTTTACATTGAATAGCATAAATGCTGCAGTTTTATCTTTTTCTTTGTGCTCCACAAAGAAACTTAGTGTCCCACAAACATCTGTGGATTTAAATTATTATTATATATTACTTTTTTTTAAGGGATTATTACCTCCGCAAAAGTGATCTGCCAATCAACTAACAACTGGGTTTCTATTTACTGCGAGGTGAAACAGTAAGTTCTTAATTCAAAATCATCATCAAGCAATCATTTGGGAGGAGGAGGAGACAGAATTGCAAAATTTAAAGATCCTTTCACTTCCACTGAAGTACAAATGATAAAACTGAAGATGGAAAGCTTTGTAATTGAAACAGAACCCAAACCGAAAGGGTTTGCTAATTGTTTAGGCCAAGAGGTTTTAAATTGAATTCTTCCAGAAATAGTTATCAAGGTGGTTAGAAAACATGAAGGAGATGGAAATCAAGACAGCATCGATCCTGGGGCTCCCATTTAGGCATTAAAGAGAATCCTCAGCCAAACTGAAATATTGATGCTTTCCAGATCAAGAGAAAGGAAGTTACTGTATATAGAAAGGAAACAGAACTTCTTTATGTATCAAAATGCTCAGCTGATTCTAAGATTATGAGAACTGAAAATCCTTCAGGGTGAACGAGTGTTGCAGTTGGTTGGGGTTCTCAAAAATGTCCCAGGTCTCAAAGGTTCCACTGATATCCCCACTGAAAAGCTGTTCTTCCCTTTTGTAGTGAGTTCTTATTTTCAAATAGAGTAATTATCTTAATGTATTTGGATGATGGAATAATTGTACGGATTGTGTTGTATCAAAGCAAAATCTTGAATAACTATCCAAATTTACATGGTGGATTACAAACTTTACATGAGTTGTTTCCTTGGCATGACATTTCCATGGTCCTAGCAGCTCAAATGCCTTCAAAGCATTTGATTAATTGAGCTTGCCTTTAGAATCTGAATCCTGTTTCCAATCAGATACTCATCCATCTCTTCTTAAAAGTGTTAGTCAGATCACAGCAGAATAGCATTAATTGTTTCATAACCATTACATTACTCATATCTACTACAGCTGTATATGGGGTAACACATCCCTGCTTCAGACTCATTCATTGTTTGATCAGGTGTAAGTCGAACTTTGCGAAAGTTTCCTTACTCCACATGCTGAAAATAATCCCTCAAGAAAAAAAACTAAATACTAATAATTTCGTACTCAATCCACAGCCGTTTGTGGGACGCTGGGACGCTGCTGTGCACAATTGGCTGCCATGTTTCGCCACAAATATACAGTCAATTTACTTTACAGTATATTCTGTGAAGTGCTTTGAGGCGTCTAGAAGATGTGACACGCATTATATTAAATGCAAGGATTATTATTATTATTATTATTATTCTATCTAAATGCTACGTGTATGTTTTCTGGACCACATCCTAAATTCCTGGTTTGACCTCTAAGAAAGATGCTCCGATTAGTTCAGCCCAATTCCCAGAGGACGTTTCTACAGCTCTGAATTCTAATTCTTTGCCTCCTAATAGTGGAGATTTAATGAGTGGCTTCTCCAGGAAACTCATTTACCATATTTCTTACAGAAAGACTGAAATTTATACTTAGCATTCAATGTTACCCTAGATATCTAAACAGTCATGGCACGGAGTGCCACAGAGGAAAGCATAATTTTGAGAGTTCACGTAATTTTTTTATACTTCCCAAAGGAAGCAAGATGAGGTTAGCAAGAATTGAAAACTTAAATTAAATGGAAATTAAATCTTAAACGGAGCATCACGCTCAGGTCCTATATTCTGGAACTGAGGAGCAGATGCAAAAACAATGAATTCAATCAACTCTAAATAATGAGGCCACATTTTTTAAAAAAAAATTATAACTCAAACATAAGCACAATAAAGTAGAATGTCGACTGGTGGCCAGCCACATCAGGCTAGTTCATTCCCTATATATGTTGGGCTAGGACTCAGCTGAATGCAACAAATGCCATATAGTATTTGCATTCTCTTTCTAAAAAAGCAACATGCTTCAGTTTTCTCTCCTGAAGGTAATGACTAATGCTGGGGTATTTCCACAGTCCACCCCCTCCCGTGATTCACTTAACCAATTTGCCATTTTTCAAGTGTGTGTCCAAATAATAAGTGTCAGCAGGCTATTCAACTGGGTGGGAGCATCATAGCCAAATCTGACCTTGCCCACCAGCAGGAACCACAGATCTCTAGTAGAGACAAGAGCCTAGTTGATAATTCTCCTCTCTACCCAGTGAACACCCACTGTGGTCATTTGTAGCCCTCTATGACTGCCCCTACTGAGATTGCATATTTCAGCACTTCTGTGATAAATGTCAGCCCCTTTTCCTATCTGCTCAACACAACATTTTACTGGAGCATTCTTTAACCTTAAACAAAGGCATCACTGAAAATCTGTTCAATCATAGGGAAGATATTGCTATCGTAACAGAAAGGAATATTCCTCTCTCTTGTTTATCCAGGTCAAGTGGGGTTTTGCTAAATCCAGATGCTCTTCTTACAACCTACACAGATTATTCAACCTTACTATCTTTGTGGAAAATTTTGGTGCTGTTGTATTTGTAGTGTGTGAATGTATACCTAAATGTCTTTCACAAGGTTGAATGGTTATTTCTCTAAACTCTGAATGTTTTTAGCAATTATTTTATTAATTAGATTGACGTAATCTACATGGACCCCTGGGCTATCATTCCAATGAAACACTCTCCCTCTCTTTACAAGGTATTTGCATTGACTACCTCCTTTCTTTGCTATTTTGTTCTGGTACTTGAATCCTTCATGACATACTGTGAGTGGGTGCCTATTCTACATATGACCCAATTGTGAGGAAGAACTCTATTTTCAAGGATGGCATATTGGACTTAGTTTTAGAAAGATTCCTTTTCTTTTGGTCAGCCAAAGTGACATTTACGGAAACCCGTCACCATGTTTGGGTATCCAAAACAGATGAGTTCCATAATTGAATACTGTCTACACATGGAAATCTACCCATGAATCCCAGCTCCCAGTGGTTCCTATAGGCAGGAAGGTTTGGAACAATATATTAGCCCTTCTATTCAATAAAGTGCAAGATGTACTGAATTATACCTCGGTAGTAGATTATTATACTTCCGGATGGGAATGACCAAGATTAAGTCAAAAGATGAATAGCCCTGATATAATTATTTCAATGAATCATTGAATTCTATGTACTTTCGAAAAGATGCCCATTAAAAATCTATACAAAAATGTGTGAAACTGTGAACCAAACTTCAACTCATTTTACAGGTTCAATCGCTAAATTCTGAAATGCTACTGAAGATGTCATTGCAATGCCATTACTGTACAAGAAGGTTACTATGTGAAAGAAATGCCTCACCAGAGAGATTGCGACAATTATTAAGTCTTTTTAATCTCACTTGGGATTATCTACTGACATTTTTGTGTCAGGAGTCTGTTACTCAGGATTGTGTGACATTTATTCAGCCAGAGCAAGTGACAGACAGACACCCTTTCACCAGGATGATTTTCTGTCTCGGGTGACACTGCTTAGCTTCGTTCATTGTACTCAGCTTTCTCAGGAATTTAGGATCATGGTATTACCTGCCATGCAATTAGGTCCTTTAGCTTTTCAATCTTCTCCTGGTCTTCAGGATGTTCCTGTTCATACTTTCCAGTGAAGAAAGCCTGACATGACGAGAGGGAAAATAAACGTATGCTCAGTTTCATTAAATGCAATTACAATACAAATTTACATTGATATAGAACGTCTCACACTGGGAGGATGTTGAGAATATTCAATTCACTTTACATTCCTTAAAACGCTTTGAGACGTCTTGAAGAAGTAATAAGCCCTATATCAAATGCAAGGATTATTATTATTAAGAATATGACTCACAACAAACAGTGAAATCATATTCCTTGCATTTGATATAGTGCCAATATAATCTTGTTGAAATGTCTCAAAATGCTTCATAGAATTTTTACTGTTAAATGTATTGCCTGTGTAATTGCATGTGATTATGCACATGCAACAAGAATAAAAACTGATAGTTTAACCTTTTCTCCAAATTAATTTATTTTTGTATGGAAACTTGCAGTACTGGAGAAAATATCTTCACAACAATTAGATGACCTAAATGCAAAATTAACATGATTCAATATATAATGTGACGTGTGGCAATTGGAGAACAATAACTTCTGCAATTGTTTAGCACAACATAATGAACAAACCTTTTCGTAATTGGTGAATCCTCCCATTACTGCGGGATCCACAATTCCATTCAGCAGCATGGAGAGAGGGTTAATGGGCAGGTTTGGATCATTCATGTGCTGTTGAACCATATTCGTGATCTTCTCATTTGTTAATTGCATTGTTTCAATTGCATTTTCCAAAGGACTTATTTCAACCTGCAGACAAGACATATCAAGATGCAATAACCTTCAGATGAGCAGCATTATAGTGTTATTATCTGTTATTTCATTAGGGTTCATTAGGTTTAAGTGAATGTAAGACACATTGCTTGTATTTACCTGCTTTGTAAAGGAAGTCATTTAAGCTTCAAGTTTAGTTATATGATTCCAGCGGGTGAATCAATTTAGCTATTTATTGTGTCAGGTTCAAAACGATATTATGCACTTATTTAAATTAGACAATAAAGAAACACTTTTCATGTTGGTTTCTTTAATCTTCTCCTCCATAATGATTATCAGCAGTATTTGTTCCACATCTACAAACTGCGAAGGAGCTCAAATGTCTTATAATCCCTTGGGCTAGAATTTTCTTGATAACAACAGTCATGTGACACAACCTTTTTTTTCTTATTTTAGCTTTGGAGGGTAATAGTTTCAATGCCCTTAAATGTTACCAAGCTGAGACTTTTGCCTCCAGGGAAGCACTGTAATCTCAGCCAGCAGTGCAACAATATACATTTTGGTGGGTTAGATATAATTAAATACATTTAACATGATTTGCTTTCTTCAAAGCATTATTACAACATCATTCTTCTGGTTTAAAAAGTTACGTCATGTATAATCATCTTCATATATTTCAGTTTTAACTTGTTTAACATTTGTGCATTCAAATACTTAAGTACTTGGCTCCCTTATAAAATTAACTATCTGTACACTGTTGCATATTCTTTCATTGCAAACATGATGGACAGGTGGGTAGAGGGGTATGGGAAAGAGCATTAAGAGCAACGATGGGTCATATGGAGTATAAACACTGGCATGTTTATAAACAATGGCCTGTTTCCATGCTTGTAACAGTTTATGCAATTCTATAAAGAATTATTGTTCTCCAACAAAGTGCAATGTTAACAATAGCCAGCAGGTGGAATTCACTGAATAAAGATTCAACAGCGTACAATCTTTCATCACAAGATTATTAAGAAGTAAACAACAAACACATTAATTACAATCCACATTGATTTTATTTCTCAAACACTCATGCAATAATTGAGGCCCCCACTCCATTGTGAAATAAATTAGCACTTCAGTTGAAATAAGGTTTTCTAAGCACACCAAAAAATCTAATTTAAACATTCCCTGTTTCTAAATTGTAAAAATAAATCATTTCCTGCAATATATTGAACTCAATGATGGGGAACTTTTAGTCAAAGACCAAATCAGCTTGATCTATAGTTCCAACTATTGCATGAATGTTCGTATTCAAAATGGTATCATGTACATAAATGTCCATCTACCCAGACCTATGTATAGCTGCAATATTACAGGTTATAGATAGGCTTCCTCCCATGATAACCAGATTGTTTTTAAAATAGATAATAAGAATAATCCTTGCATTTGACATAGCGCCTTATCATGTCTTTGAGATGTCGCAAAGCACGTCACAGAATATACTGTAAAGTGAATTGACTATATTTTGGGGCGAGATAGTGAATCTGATGGTCTGGAATGACACTGAAATATGGCCATGGTTTTCTGATAATCCTGCCCATCATTCCTACAGGTTTCAACTCACAGATTCAGCTTCCTACTCTGTACCACAGTGTTTGGGTACTTACATACAGAAACTTTAAGTGTGAATGCTTTCCGTTTCTTTCTGTAAAATCGTCTGCAATGAATGCAACCAATACACAAACAAAAGAGCAACCCAAGACTCATCTGTCTTAGAGCAGTAATGTTAAGAGCCACCATTTGTGGCTTAACACAAATTGTGAATAAAATGACTGTCTATTATGTTAGGTTTTCACCTTTCCCAATATCAAAATGAACAAAAAACTTATTGAGAGCCCCTGATAAAATTTAAAATACATTAATTTTTTTAATGATTAAACTAATAAAGGAAGCAATACATAAATATTATACAGTCTGACCCCCATTATAATGCACTTTGATGTCGACAACTTGGAAGCACTGACTGATAACCATCTTTTATAACTTTGATTCTGAGTTTATTGACCCAAACCACTGCACAATAACAAAGTTGACCTGTATAATGCATTCATGATTCCTTGAATGCCATTTCTTGACAGGAAGATGATAGAGAATCAGTTGTGATGTTGGATTAAAATCTGAAGATGAGTTACTTCATTTATTGGGATGATTTATAGATGTATGAAAGAGAAATGGATGGTTCTCACTGTGTTCATTTTTTTAAAGTGCAAAGTGAATATTCTTGTGACTCTTTACTAAATTACAACTACTTTTTTATATAACGGCATCATCCTGGATCAGCTAAAGGCAAAAAGGCCCCACAGTCAGTAGCATTGCTTTAAACCAATTTAAAACAGTGTGCTTTTCATCTGTTGTCCTAAAAAGATAATAATCCTTGCATTCGAAATAGCACCTTATCACGTCTTCAAGACGTCTCAAAGCGCTTCACAGAATATATTGTAAAGTGAATTGACTACATTTTGTGCGCAAAGCACGAATAGCCAATTGCGCACAGCAGTGTCCCACAAACAGTAGTGGATTGAGTGACCGAATTCTTCTTTTTTTTTAAAAAAGAATTATTACCCCAGGAATAGCAATCGACTAACAAACAGGTTTCCACTTACTGCTAGGTAATCAGAGGCGTGTGGAGTAAGGAAACTTGCCCAACGTTTCGCCCTGCCGGGAATCAAACGCAGGTCTCTCGCTTGAGAGGTGAGTGCTCTAATCACTGAGTTCAGGACTCAGATGAGTGGAATATACATTTTTGAGGTTTTATAAAGCACACAGTACAAGTGCTGTAAATGGGATCTATCACATTTGTATGAGGCACACACCACAGCACAAAAAGTACATTCGTACAAACTACCTCTGCAGAGTCAGGTGCTAGGCTTCGTTATCATCTGCTGCTTTGATGCAGTGTTCTTGTGTGTGTGTGTGATATTTTTGTCTTTGGAAAACTACTTAGCATGAAACTAGGTGCAAACTGTGGGTTTCATCACTGCCTAGTGAAATTTCCAATGATTCAATACAGCATTTTATTCTATCAACCTGATATTATCCTTCATTACCTTTTAAATTCTGTTCCCATGGAAATCAAAGCTGCTTCAGGGACCAGCTTCTTTCAGAGATTTATTTGTAAGCGTCTTACTTACTCACTGGGTAATGAACGGTTCTTGATTCCCTCTGATTAAATGTCATTCCTCTTGTTAACTGAATACTGAGTAGTGCTCAAAATACTCCGGCACGCCAATAATTATTTTTCACTAATTACAGGAAATGCAGGGTGATTGGAACAAGGTTAGTCTAAAGAGATTTTTTGGAGGGCATTTTTTTAAAGCAAATTATTCACTGGAAAGGTTTAAAGATGAATTTAAAATATGTGTAACTTAAAAGGCACAAACAGATTTTTAATTATAAAGTGATATAAATTGCATATATTGTAATTCATACAGCACCAATATACAATTTGAATTCCTTGCCAGTAGATTAATAAATGCAGTAAATTAAGACACCAGTCACACTAAAACAGTCCAACTACATTGTATGGTTTCTCAATAAAGAGGAAACAAGATCATTAGTGTACACATGGGGAGATGCAAAGTGGTTGCAAGTTCTTTGTAATGCATTTTGCCCTTGAGGAATTACAACAGCCATTTCAGCTCCATTGGGACAGCCCAAATAAACACTTTTCTCTAACAAATTTCTGGCAGCAATGGCTTGGAAACATTGTGCGATACAACAACTGGCTTGGCTTTAGCACTCCAAGACACTACCTCACGTGAAGAGCACTATATAAATGCAAGTTGTTGTGGTTGTCGACTGCCAATAACAACAATAATCCTTCCATTTGATGTAGCGCCTTACGTCTCAAAGAGCTTCACAAAATATATATACTGTAAAGTGTAGCGACTGTATATTTTGTGGGCAAAAGTTGGCAGCCAATTGCGCACAGCAGCGTCCCAGACAGTCGTGGATTCAGTGACCAAATTAATATTTTTTGTTAAATAATTTGGAATAATTATTCAACTCATTTTGTGCTGTCTGTTTTAACCTACACACAGGTAGAACTTTGAAATCAGTTTTTTTTTTTAAAAAAGTCTCTTATGCAATATGGAATGGGATGTATAAATCAGACTGCACACTCTACAAACCTCCAGAAAAACGGTCAGTGCAGTGACCAGAACTGTACAGTTTGCCGAGATCTACAACGTGTACTGCTATTTACTATCCAACATAGATCCATCTCTTGCAGACATCATCACTCAGAAAGATACGTTACTTTTGAGTAATTCAAACAGATATATTGCAATTGAGCAACAGAGATGCTGTACTGATAAACTACATAGACGGGTGGGTGGAGCGAGTTATTCATCAATTTCAGCATTTACGTTAGGAGGTTGATTTTTTTAATATGATTGCTATTGTTGTATATGGATCTGTTGTGCACATTGTATTTCAGCCAATAGAGTTATTAAATCATTGCCTAGGCTTTTATGTTGTTGTTCACCAGGACTGCACACACAACATAAGGTTGGATATCAATAACAAATAATCATTGCATTTACCTGCAGCGAGTATGAATTGGAATGATTGATATCAAATTCTTCGCACAAAGATTGAAGGCTTACCGACTACTCTGATAAATATTATACTATCACCATGACTTAAGGGTCTACAAGTACAGTTAAAAACAGCATCTTGTTCTAGACTATTACAAAATCTGTTTGCTGCTACAAAACAAATTTACATTCATGTAGTGACTTTCACATTAGGAGGACATCCCAAAGTGCTTAAAGTGTAAAGTGTTTTAATAATGTGTAATAACTACTAGGTAGATAGCCACAACTTAAACAAATAAACTCTGTGATGACCACTCTCATGTGTTCTAAGTATACATCGAAAATAACTTACCTATTTAAAATAAAAATAAATGCACTCAGCTTAATTCTCTCTTTATCAGTTAACTTTCATAAGCGTTGCAATTGAAAATTGATGGAAAATCAATTCGA